CATTTGAGTTCTATGCTACCCTCCCCCCCAAAAAAACACTCTAGTTTTTATTCATAGGATTTCAGGGTCTTTGTTCAATTTTATGAAAAATGGTTCCCTCCAGTTCTTCCTATGGAGTTTGTTTTTTAAATGATTTGAATCTCTGTCCTTATTCCTCTCTATAGTCATCCATACGAAAATGGCATATATTCTTTATCCTGGAAACTGTTGCCCCAGTTGAGGCGGGCATTCTAGAGATGGAGGTGGTCAGGGCAACCGGTGATGCCTCAGCAGAGTCGGAGTTCAACCGTTTGTAGGTTTGACGTGTCTGTGGTCTTTGTTTTTAGGTCTGTTAAGTTTTTGCCAAGGTGTCTTTCTGCTAATGGCATATTTTGGATTTAAGTCTCTATTTGTCTCAAATAACTTATCAAACAAATATGAATTAAAGGAAAATGTGGCAGGGTTAGGAAACATGAAGGAAGTGAGAGAAAAACCATAGCTCTGAGTCCAAATTACCCAAACCCTGAGTAAACGTCTTGGGTATTTATGTTGATGTGCAAATATGCCCATTTTTTCTCTAGAAGAAGACAACAGAAATTACATAAAGTGCAATGGCCCACCTGCCATTGAGCTTTTGGCAATCATTACAGGAGTAGATAGCCTCACATTTCTCGATTGGAATGGCTGGTGGGTTTGAACCTTCAGCCTTGTGGTTAGCAGTTCAGTGCTTATGAGACAATGCCACTAGGACTCCTTGAGGTGTTATTAAGAGGTCATTTTTAAGGTGTATCTGAGATGTTAGGTCACTGGAGATCACCCTCTTGAACTTGTGTTATATGTTTTTCTGTGTTTCGGTATATGAAACCCAGGATTCATGAAACTACAGGGACATCAAATGGTTTCGGGGGATGGGAGTGATGGGGGGACAGGGAGGGGTCGGGTACAGTGGTGGTGGTAGTGGGGTAAAAGGGAGACAATGTCAAGGAGTCCAGAAAGAAAAAGAATGTTTGGAAACTTTGGTACCAATTGTACAATTCTGCTTGATGTTATTGAACTATGGAATTATATGACATATGCATTAACTCCCAATTAATAATACATTTTTAAATTATATAGAAAATTTTAATAAAGTAGAACATCAAAAGAGGGAAACAAAAAAAGAGATCATTGTTACTCACATTTACAAAGAGGCATTTCTTCTCCCAGGTTAGAATATTATATGAGACAGTACATACGTACACCTAAACTTTAGAGCAATGGCTCTGGGTTTCTTGTTGGGATAGGCTGCGAATATGAAGGCCTCCGAGGCTTTTCCAAAGATCATTCTTTATCATCTGCTCAGAGACCTTCAAGTGGTCAAAACCTTGGCAATTATGTACTCCAGCGGAGCTGCTGGTTGGCAACCCAACACTTCACCACTACACTGACAGTCTCTACCTTAGGGATTTCCAATGTACTTGTAAATACTAACTTATAACAAATACTATACTATGATGCAATGTATTTTATTTATAGAGATAAAGTGCTATGATATCACAAAAGAACAAATAATTCTATCTAGGAGGATTCTAGAAATTTAGGCATTTCCACATTTGAAAAGGCATAGAGGGGCAAAAAAGCATGATAGAAATTCAGTGTGGTTGGAGTATAGGGTACCAGACAGAATGGCAGTTTATTAATTGGGTTGGAACTCAATTGTGCATGGCCATGCCCTTTTTCCTACAAACAAAATAAACCAAAATCCACTTTAGGTTGTGAAATGGGGGAAGTAGAATGATCACATTAATGCTCCAGAAGGATAATGTGTACGACAGTTTACAAGATGATCTGGACCAATGGGAGGCCAGAATGAGACCGGAAAATTATAGTACTCAGTGGTCTAGGAGTAGCCAAACTGGTGGTTTGGGGACATATTTCTAGAGTCCATTTGCTGATATTTAGTGGCTAATTAGATATAAAGCAGTGAAACACTTGGTAGGTGATGCCATCCACTGACAAAATGTGAAAAGGGGAAATGGAGATTCGACCCACATGCAAAACTGACATCCATCTTCTGAACCATAGTCCATGTGATTTAAAGAAATGGCATTCTGAAGTTAACCAGTCTTTTGAAGAGAGAAATCTTCTAAATCTCTCTCTCTTTCCTTTTTAAAAAAAACATAGTCAAAGTAAGATGTAATATGAAACACAAAAAATGCCCTAATTCCCAGCCTCCTTCTTTGTTCTATTCTCCAGGGTTGCTAAATCATGTCAGACTCCTAAGGAACCCTTCCATAGCTCTATGCTTATAACCAGGGAGGAGGAGGTTAGATCCACAATTCCATACTCATCACGAAGGGTGAGTTTGCAGGAGACATCCCCAAGGCACCTTCGTAGTATCCCAGTAGTTCCAACCAGAAAGCAGCAGGCTTCCATTAAATAGCCAATTAGCTTCCTTTTAAGCATCCTTGAACCAGCTGAGCAAGAAGAGAAGGCTCTCCTTAGTCTGCCCCAGACACAGCTCTTCAGGGTTATCCACCAAAGATGGTCCTTACAAGAGAAAGTTTAGACTATTCTTCCAATCTTAAAGCTCCATTGCTCCTAAATGGAGCTCTGGCATTGTAGTGGGCTATTCACCAAGCTGCTAACCACAACATCAGTGGTTCAAATCCATCTGATCATGGGGAAAAGATGAGACTATCTAATCTGTAAGGATTTAAAGTCTTAGAAACCCCAAAAGGGGGTTCTACCGTACCCTATAAGGCTGCTCTGAGTTGGAATTGACTAGATGGCAGTGAATTTGGTTTTAGTATTTCTTCTAACTAGAACGCTTTCGTTTATGGACTTTTTTTTTTAATGATACCTTAACCTGTCACACATATTTTACAATCTACCATTCTTTTCTTGGAGCAGGAACTAGGCTTTTCTACAATGTAAGCCTAGCTGGGTGACAGGCACTCATCTCTTTGTCTTTAGATATCAGGTCATTGAAAATTCATCAGCTTCATGTATTAACTCAGACAATATTAGAACCTGGGATAAGACATGCCTCTTTGTAAATATGGGTAAAATGATCTCTTAATTTCACCTTACGTAATTCCTGTTGTCCCCTTCTAGAGGGAAAATGGACGTCTGTACATGAAAATGAATGCCCAAGAAGGTTTCTCTGGTTTGGGTAATTCTGGACAGAAAGTTATAATTGTTTCTAGCTTTGTTCATGTTCCTTAATCCTGCCACATGTTCTCTGATTAATGTGCCATCATGATAAGTTATTGTCAGCAAATAAATGCGTAAATCTAAAATCTACCATTAGAATTCACACTGTCAGCTTTAGCCCATGCTGTTCCAGGTGCCTCCCACAAAAGAGGAGACGGGGTCTGGTGACGACTCTTAGCTTCTGAGCTCCCATCAGCACAGTTTTATGTATCCTCGAAGACTATTATTCCTCTTTAGACCCATACCAAAGAGCATGGCATAGAATGCTAACACTATGGGTCAACTGCAGATTGGGTTGGAATTTCTTTGTGAAATGTGTTTGTGAGATGAGAGTTGCAGAAAGTATCATATGGACATTCTATCTTTCTCTCTTCTCCCCACAACTTCCCCCCAAATCTATTTCGGATGAGCCACCTGAGCCACCTGAGCCATCCCCAGTAGGGGCTTTCACAGCGGCAGTAGATCTGTTACCATGACAAGGTGTTAACTCATCACTGCTGTGTCTGACCTTGGGAAACTGGAGTCAAAGAGACCCCAGATAGGAAGTGGCCTCTTCTTTATCCTGCATAGCAATTGGTGATTTCAAACTGCTGACCTATGAGATTTCAGTCCAAAGCATAGACAAGAGAAAGAAAAAGTTAGGTAAAAATTGGGTAGGACAGGGCACCTGGGAGGTCAAGTGCCAAGGAAGTCCCAAGGAGGT